TAATCTCACATTGGCTAATTCAAAAAACAAATCTGCTGAACGAATGGAAAAACTTCCTCACCCGAAACGTCGCTAACTGTGTTCAGCAACGCATTTGGATCACACACCAGTCCTGGTCGGTCAATTTGACACAGCGTCGGATCGGTCAATGAATTCGGAAATGTTTCGGCGGTCCAGTCCGGAAAGCCGATTGTCCATACGGGTGAGGCGATCAGAATGGAGAATTTTAAAAATCTTTCAAACATTTTAGCGGTGTTGTCGTTGAAAGTTAGGGTGGTAATGTTTGTGCCGTTGTTGCTATGCAATATACCGAAAGGAAGCAACACAAACTAACAGTCTTGTAGCCACATCATATTTTAGATGAAAGCTGTTTTGTAGTGTTGTTGTAACAGTCGGCAAATGCATAGTTGTCGAGGATGATAATAAGAAGAAAGTAAACATTTGAAAGGTGATTGAATAAATGACACTCGCTTCATCCTTTGCTTCACTCCACATTGCTTCGCTTCATTGTATGTTTGTTTGCAAGTACGACGATGATTGTGTTTCTTAGAAACTTCACTTCAGCTATTCGATTCGATTGTATAGAACTGGTCCGGTGTTGAGTCTGCACTTCATTCGCATCCTCTAGCTTTAGTGACTCGCATGGTCATGACACATCCATCCAGTGACGTCGACTAATCGACGAAATTCACTGGAATCGCTTAGTCACTCCTTTTTTTTGCACCAGAAATGTGCGATTAGAGAGGGAAAAATAGCCGCAGAAACACATGTCCAATGAGTTCGTTACGTTTAAAAGGCGCAACTGAGTACGATGATTTTGTTTAGAGGTTAAAGTGACTGCTATATCCGTGTACTTATTACTACATTTACAGGTAATTTTTTATAGGCAAAATTGATGGGCGAAATCAAATTTCGGACATTAGCTATTGGAAAATAATGGTCCAGAAATTAGGAGATAAAAATATTGGCATATTGCTTTCATGCTCAGATTTTTTTCTTGAGGTACTGAAAGTGAGCTGAGTTCGGATTTGTAATCGGAAATGTTTTTCATTTCGATGGAAGCGTGCTGATTTACGAAATAAACGATGTGCTTTCACGTACGAGAAAATTGTGTGAATTATGCGTGTCGTAAATTGCTATCACTATAGTGACATTCTCAGAAGGATTCGCAGTTCAATTCGTTTAACCAAATCTCAAGAATTTGAGTAATTATTGTGGTGCATTGATATCACATCCGAGCAGAGACAATGTTATTGGAGAATATCATAAATCAATTCAAATTGATGATCTTTTAATTCTACTGTGTTGTGCGCTTCAATTCAGATATTGCTTCGAACGTAACGTGATGTTGAATTCCAGTGTTATGACTGACTGACATGAATAGATTCTTCGAAGTAAATTCATCCTTACCGACCACATGTTGAGAGATTATCTTCAATCTAATGGCTTTCATAACCAGATATTAGTGGTCATTTGTACCGTCGACCAAATTTTGATCTGCTTCAATTTGTGATTGATCTGGATTAGGATTTCATCGCACGGAGATGTGATCACTTTTTCTAACTTTTCCAACAACTTCTCTAAGGTCATCAAGGACAATAACCTTATCGAACAGAAAGCGAGTGGCTCCGTAAAACCTCACGCAATGGCTGGCAATAAAACAAGATTCTTATCTTGTAGGGTTATGTCACTAACATAAATGAAAGAATTACACACTGGTCTTTCATAATCTACAAAACAGTCGTTGTGCATGTTCTTAGGTTGATTCAAATTCCAATTATGTGTGTTGTTTCATTCATAACGTAATTAAGTGCAGGTGCGCCTTATTCGAGAACACATCGATCGAGTTTATTTAATCAACACTGACCACAGAGTCGTATCATCATAAATACCAGACATATCAATAGCGGTCAGTAAACAGTGTGGCGTTGTCATGAAACGACGACGACGAAGTGCATCGCATGCATTATGACGGTGATATGACAGCAGAGAAATGAAATGAAATCGCTCGTAAAACGCAATGTTTCGTTGATTGCGTTTCATTTCGTTGTGTCCATATCCATCCACTGTTTCTTCTGTATTTGCTGTCTATGTAATTAGTTGTTGGCGAGTGAACGGTGTGTTGTGTGATATTCGGATAAACGACTGATAAATAGATATACACTTGAACTGATATTCAGCGGTTTCGTTTGATTCACTCTCTTCGAGTGCGTTTGGTCGAGGCCAACCGAAAGCAATACTGACCATGTTGACGATACTTCGTGTTGTGTTGACCGTGTTGCTTGTCACTATCACTATTGCAAGCACATATACAATGCCACAGCAGTCATCTTATTATGCGTATCCACGACAAAGATCTTACAGTCAGGTATGTGATTTTATCATTTATTGTGATTTTCAGCTGGTTCGAGAACGACTGGAAATTAAATATCTTCTTTTCTCTCATGGAACCGTTATCAATCCACATTTGATAATAATGAATTCAAAACGGAACTTTTTTCATGCGACATTTCGCCAGTGTATGAGTCTAATAGCTCACTCATCAACGAGTGCTGAAGATCTTATCAAACCATATGAACAAGCAGCACCTTTTGATGGCGTTTGAGAAATTTCAAATTCAAACAGGAGCATTACAATGACATGAATTTCACACAGGAGCGTTACAGTGATTTGTAGTTATCCTCGGATCTGATCTGGTCTATCGGAATTATTCAGAACCGGACAGTTTATTTTATTCCTTGTCGGATCCAATAACTTTTCCTGAGATCATCTACTTGCTTTGCTGAACTGTCACGCCTTAGATATATTTTGAGAAACAAATAATCCATAACCAACAGTCAATATTATATTGAATATACCAAATTAATATTTCATTTGAATCCATCTGAATTCAAAAGCATAGTCATCGATATCCGCTGAGTTTATGCATCGTTCATTGTTTCTGCGGCTGCCATCCATCAGAAAATCTAGAAAAAAGTTGTGCTTGATTGATTCGGTTGCCCTTAACTGGTTCCTTTTGATGCACTGATCGCTCATAATCGTTTGAAGTGTTTTTCGAGTGAGACACTAAAAAAAATTGCTGGATGAACGGATTTCGAACGCAGCCATCATATCAA